GTCCCTAAGACCCTTGTTGGGTAGATGTCCTTTGCTTCTTCCCCAAACTAGTAAAAAAGGATTGACCCTCACTCTTCTTATCCTTGGCACTAGCCTCCTGAATACTCTTGGCATCTTCGACCTCTCTCTTAATGGCCAAGATTGTCTCGACCATCATTTATAGGTCTTGTCCTCGGATGGACAACTTCAAGCCGTCTTCAAATCTCCTCAATTTGGCTAAGTCAGTGGTCACATAATCATCGACAAAATAGGCTAGCTCGATGAACTTCACCATGTATTGCATCGCTGTCATTGTTCCTTGATTTAGGTCTAGAAATTCCTGAGCTTTCACTTGCCGAAGAGCTGACGGGAAGTACTTGCCCATGAAGAGCTCACAAAACTCTTCCCAAATCATTGCCCTAATATTCTTTGAGGCCTTTGCCCAATTACACCATAGATGGGCCTCTCCCTCAAGTTGGAACGTTGTTAGCCTTATCTTAGTGGCATCGGACGTGATCTCCATAGCTTCAAAGATCTTATCCGCTTGTTGGAACCAATGATCAGCTACCATCGGATCCGCCTACTATAAAATTTGGTGGTTTATGTGCCTTACACTTATGGAGGTTGTTCAAGCCTCTATGGCCTATGTTGGCACTAGTTTGTGCAAAAGTGGCCACCATTGCACCTATAACCTTCATGAAGACTTGTTGGTTAAAGGTCAGTGGTGGTGGTTGGTTGTTCTTTCGATCCCCTTGGCCGTTGCGATGTCCTCTTCCTCATTTTCCATCTACACACACGTAAGATAGCAATAAACCACTAATTTAGTATCCTAAATTTAGGGATCAAAGTTAAAATGTTAAAAAGTTTCCTCTTGTCTCACTGGTAGGAGGTATACCCCCTACCAGTAGATGCCCAACCCATTCTTTCCTTTTTTCGATCCCAAGGTTATGTTTTTCAACCCTAGTGTCTCATTCCTATACACGTTTAATCATGCATATAATCTCATATCACACGACATGTAGCATTTAATGCACATAACATGTAATGTAATGGCCTAACCCAATTTACCCTCAAGTACTCCAAGATAATCGAGAACCTTAAGTTCTGATACCAAGCTATGACACCTCAAAATTCAGGACTCTTTTCTCAACCCGTTAGTTACCCATCAACCCGCAGATTACCTATGGATACCATATAACCTGATATCACATCATTGCACCTCATTCACCGGGATTATAACAAAACATAATTCAGCAAAGACTCCTTTTCACGGGAGCATTACCTAATACATAACTTGTACATATATCAATCATACAACCATTTCAAGGTCTAAATCCCAAAGTCTAGAACTTAAAATTTAGATATTATATCATCCAAAGAAAAGAGCTCTAGATTTGAAGGCTCAAAAGTGTTATAGTTCAAAATTCAATTTTCAGGAAAAGATACCGATACCTCTGATAAGGAGTACTAGTACTTGTAAGACTTGGTACGAGTACTTGGGTCCACTGTCATCAGGTTACCAGTACCTGTGCGCATAGTTACCAGTACCTGAGCCCACTAGAAGCTAGGTACCTGTGAGGTACCGATACTTAGAGCCTAGATTTCTCCATAATTCTCAAATTTCAACTTTTAACCCAATAAACTCGTACAACATCCATTACATTCATTTGTTTACAAAAGAATAATTTTCAGGAGTGCCCTGTTACATGTCTTTGTCAAAGTACAAGTTTTGTACATAATTTATACAATACCAAAATAGAAATGTACAATGAACTACAAAATATAATTTAACAGCCACAACCCGACTCTGCTATCAGCATAGGCCCAAATGAGGGCCGTCTGCTAGAGCCTGTTCAACACCTGAAATGCATCCTTATAAAGGGTGTACCACGTTCAATAGGGTGTCTACTAAGGAGGCTACTCCCCAATCCATATGCATATAAAATGTTAATACAAGTCATCATATCGAGCATCATTCAAACACAAATTTTTCATAAATGAATGTTACACTTCCATGTCATGCCATGAGATGGAAACTCACACCTGCAATGTAAATCCGAGCCCCACCGGCTCCCATAACACATACTATGTCATGCGTATGCATCCACACATTCTAAGCCCCCACCATTGATGTTAGACATTTAATGACGATTTTATAAAATCTTGTGTTTTTTTGGGTAGGTCATTTATGGACATCACACCAACAGTCTACCAAACCGACACGGCATTTGAGGGCATCACACCTCCGTTTTTTAGTACATTAACACACTTTTCCAGAATTTCACCATAGGGCAAGTGAGTGAACCAAGTAACCAGACCTTGCACCTTAGAGAGAATCTATCCATTCTTACTATACCCAACACGTATTTTCAATGCAACTCGTACGACTCAGTCGAACCTAGGTCCAACTTTTTTCAGCCCATGTATAACCCACCAAGGATGGTATTTAATTAAAAACATGCATACACTCCACCACTCACGTTGCATGCACATGAATATGATGTTATCTATGCATATGCAATTAAATCATATAATCACAATTCATATTACCATGCTTATCATATCATAAGGCATATAATGAACATATTCATTTTCCACAAACATTCCCAAGCATGACACATGTGACATCAATCCAATTAACATACTTGAATTTCTAAGCATTTTATAAAACACTTAGTAGGCAAAATTATGTAAACACATAGCATGCCCAAACAATACTTTCTTCATGAAATCCAAATCAAGCAATTTCATCAAACTCAAATCATGCAAAAATTAGTTTTAACATATTCTCATACTCATTTTCTATATTCTAGCTAAATAGGTGTGTGCTATATATGAGAATTCATCTCTATCACCCTACCAATTTCATATCTCAACCCTAAGTTGGAAATAAACTCAGATAAGAGGGAACCCTACCTCTTGTAGTATATGCCTGCGTAGTAGAAGCCCCAAAGACTCCAAATCAAGTCTTTCAAGCTTTTTTCCAAAATTCTCATCTTTGAGATTTTGGAGAAAATCACGATCTTTAGTATGTCTACGTAGCTCTCGTTGTGTAGAGAGACTTTGACTCTTGCCCCAAAGTAATCCAACGGTTGTATCTTGGCGGATCAAGAAAGGAAGGTGGGAGAACTTGAGATTTTCTCTCTCTCTCTCTTGAAAATTTTTGGCTAAAGAATGGGGGAAAATATAATTTCCCCCCCCCCTTTAAATACTCCTTAGATGCTTGGCTCACAATGCCCACACGTCTCACTTTGATTGGTCAAATTTTATTCTGAATCAATTAAATTTCATTCAAATGTTAAGTTTGGTGTATTTTTACTAAACTAACTTTAAATCATTTTTCTAGTCCCGTAAATAAAATCTGATCGCGTTTATTTTAGTCAAAATTTTAATTTTCCTGGGTTTTACACTCTTCTTGGGTATCCTCATTCACCACATCAGGTTTGTTGACTTCGTTGTGCACTCTATGGCGTCAAGCAAGCCCCTAGAGCTTGGTTTGCAAATTTTAGAGCTAGCATTGGAGATTTTAGTTTCTCTTTCAACCCTTTTGACACGACTCTCTTTGTTCGTAAATATGAGTATGGCACTACTCTAATTCTTCTCTATATGGATGATATGATTATCACTAGGGATAATGTTTTTGGTATATCTGATCTCAAACATTTTCTCAAGACACACTTTGAGATGAAGGATATTGGTTTTCTCAGCTACTTCTTGGGCCTTGAGATCTTGTCTAACTCCAATGAGTATTATCTCTCTCAGGCTAAGTATGCCTCTGATTTTCTTACTCGTGTTAGACTCACTGATTTCAAGACTATACCTACCCTATAAGAGCAAAATGCTCGACTTACTCCCTTGGATGACACACCTCTCACTGATGCCACTCTTTATCGCCAATTGGTAGACTGTCTTGTGTGTCTCACTGTTTCTCGTCCGGATAAAGCCTATGTTGTTCATCTTGTCAACCAATTTTTGATTGCCCCTAGTTTTACCCATTATGATGTTGTTCTTCATATTCTATGATATATCGAGGGTACTATGTTTAATGATCTTCATTATCAATTCTAATGCTAACTAGGCAGGAGGTCCTACTAATCGTTGTTCTATCACTTGTTACTATTTCTTTTTGGACGACTCTCTTATCTTTTGGCGCAGCAAGAAACAGTATGTTATCTCTCGCTCCAGTATAGAGGCAGAGTACCACGTTGTTGTTGACATTATCCAAGATTTTCTTTGACTTCATTGGCTCTTAGAGGATTTGGGTGTATCTTATTTTGGTGCTAATATTTATTATTGTAATAATCATGGTGCAATATAGATTGTTCACAATGATGTTTTTCATGATCACACCAAACATATTGAGATTGACTATTGTTTTGTGCGACATCATATGGTTCGAGGCACAATCTATCTTGTCTTTGTTTCTTCATTTGACCAGACTGTTGACATCTTCACCAAGACACATCCAAATGGTCGATTTCATGATTTGGTTTCCAAACTAAAGTTAATTTCTACTTTGCCTCCTTGAGTTTGAGAGAGGATGTTAATGTATATTGGTTTGTCCCACGTCGGTTAGATTAAGAAACTTCATATTACTCTCTTGTACTATTAATAAACCTATAATAAATTATACCAAAGTAATATACAATTATTATTCACTTTTTATTCTCTTTTTTGACAACGGATGCTAATAAGTGGGGCTGCGTGAAACTAATCACATAGATGAGGGTGTAATACAAAAATCATAATAGTTGAGGGAGTAATGTGAGAAAAGATACATAATTTAGGAGGTCAAAGTATAATTTGCTTGAATTCAAAGGCTACCCTCTTCGCTAAATTCTTGATCCATCCTTGGTTAGTACGACTGGACTTTGTTTAGAAAGAAGGTTATAAATCCAAAGGGGGAGAGAGAGAGAGAGAGTCTACTATACTGATAGGTTCATTGACTATGGATTGATTTTGCATTACCCCTATCAATTTATAAACCCCCCATGTACTAAAGCTAGTAGTTGAAGAACCTAATGGAGGAATTCTCCTACCATCCAAGGTTTTCCTTGCAGACTAAAGAATGCACATATTTCAGCACACCTTGCTTTCAACCATTTCTGCAAGCTTTATTCTCCTTGTTTTCTTACCTTTCAGTGGATGCTCATCCCACGCTGATCACCAGAAACAAACCAATACTCACAAAATCATCAAACAAGATGTTTCTAGGGTAAGTAACCTGTCTCTATCTCTCTCTCCTCATCTTTGTTGAACATGCAGACATAAGGTTCTGCTATTGTGGAGTTTTAGAAAGAGAGAACCAGATGCATGATGTCTTATCCTACGTGTGGATGGATTGTTTTTGAAACTTGATCGAACTCACCATATCTGTGTCACAATTGAGTAATTTATTCATGTATTTTAATCCATTACCTTTCTGGCTTAAACTAACTTTAATTTGGTTACTTGTGCAAGCGAGTCATTCGAGGACATTTGATATTACACTCCATGGAATTCTATTATGGGTATCAATTGGTTTCTTAATGCCTCTTGGGATATTTGCAATTAGAATGTCCAACAAAGATGAATGTGGCCAGACAAGGCTCAAAGTTCTCTTCTACATTCACTCTAATTCTCAGGTAGAATTCTACTTTTGATTCCTCTCCCTGCAATATCATTGGTTTTCCACAACAAAACGCAAAAAAAGTCATCTCTAGTACAAACCTTTTCGATAAAACTGGTGTAAGAGAGGAAAGTAATAGGTATTGGTGTCTTTATTCTTTATTTTGGAGAGAATGATTCTTGATTTTAAACCCTTAATGGATCGCTTCGATGAATGACTACTTGTTATTATTCTAAGTCTAACATCTTATATATTCAACCATCAACTTACAACGAAAAAATGTGACCAAAATGATTGATGCCTCATGAGACTAACAACATGCTATCATTAAAGAACTTGATCTTTGTCAGCTGCATAATCATAGAACACTTTAACTTTAAAATAATGGTGGGGAAATTGAAGTAAAAAAGTTCATCTAAGCACCAATGACCATCATGCCTGTGAACCCACATTTAGGTGATGGTAAACAAATTTGACCAAATACATATATATGTATTTGATAATAAGGGGGCAAGAAGTGGAGTGAATAGGTAATTTTAGACTAAAGTGTGAATTACTGGAGTGTATAGTAATTTGTTAGTTATTGTGCTTAATTTCCCACCATCCTCATTCATCCTGCCAAGCTATTTTTTTTCTCTTTTACAAGCATTCAGATTTGCAAGATTTGATCTTGTGTAAGATTATTCTATTATAACGAGAGTGCCATTAGTTCAAGTCATGGAAGTCATCTCTTCACACGCGGAGTAGGATTATGTGCATCTGGTTCTCTTGCGACCCCTCAGTAACAGAAATCTAATGTACTAGATTGTCGATCTTTTGTTTTTTAATACATATTCAGTGTTACATAACTAAAATCTCATATAACAAAAGTATCTACCATGGGATTCTAAAGGTTATAGTCACTACTCTTGCAATACACAGATAAGGAGTGGTAGAATACATGTTCTTCAACTAAATGGTCCAAACCTTTACCTATCTATATGAATATCTGTTTGTAGATCCTTTCTTTCTTTCTTAAAGTTAGGATATGAAACGATGATGATAAGATTGTTTATTATATATCTCTCTCAAAACCTATTATAGGCGAGAGCCTTATGAAGTGAATACGACTTTTATCCTTTCTTTCTTATTTGTTATGTACTGAACTAAGTGTTGTATGGTTGTAAAGGTGCTCGCAGTACTGCTTGCCTCTATTGGAGCAGTCCTTTCTATCAAAAACTTTGCGAATTCATTTAACAACAGTCACCAAAGAATAGGTCTAGCACTTTATGGTGCCATATGGGTGCAAGCCTTGGCTGGATTTCGCAGGCCTAAGATGTAATATTTATTAAATTTGATTTTCCCACAACTCTGTTAGCTAGCTAGTGTCTGAGTCAATTAAAGACATTTTTGTCCGTGCTACATAGTTCTTAACAAAGAAATTACAAGTATTAGCTTCATTTTGGTTTCCAATTTTTTGCAAAATATTTTCCTTTCTCTTTGTAAAATAAAGCTGAATAATCAAAACATGCAGTTGAAACATTTTAAATAATGGTTTCGATCTTACTTCAGTCCTCTACTATAAAATTTTTCACATTGTCTTTTTAATTAATTGAATTGATTTTATATTATTCTAAAACCAAACATCTATTATGTTTTGGACCAAGCATTACATTTTTTATTCAATTTTGAGACAAAATCACATAGTTTAGGAGCAAAATAACACAAATTTCCATTAAGTTTACGAAGGAATATTGCAATTGGACCAATGTGAAAAATAATCCTATGGGGAGATGCATTGTGAGAAACATGATATGTAATTGAGGGGGTAATGTGTAGCTATTGGCATAATTGAGGGGACTGAAGTGTAATTTTATCTATGTTTTATTATACTAACTTTTTCCTTGAAAGTATCTTAACTACACAACCCCCCCCCCCCAACCCCCTCTTTTCTTTTTCCTTTCTGCAGGCGAACTAAAGGTAGAATAGTATGATACTTTTTCCATTGGATACTTGAGACAATAATTGTTGTGGTAGGAATTTCCAACATCTACACAGGGTTAAAAACCTACCAGAAGAGAACATCAAGAAGCATAACCCTTTGGACCATCCTTTTTACATTAGAGGTCTCTTTCATGGGGCTCTTCTACCTCTTTCAAGACAAATGGGTATACATACAAAAGCAAGGAGTGATATTAGGCACTGCACCAAACACACACTCTGATCAAGTGCTTCCTCAGAGGAAAAACCATAAAGAGGTCTTGACTGAACCTTGTGCGAAAAGCAATGCACTTGGTAGTTATTTTTCAAGAAGCAATGCCATGCGAAAATTATTCCAATTAACATGATATTTGGATGTCATAAGTTCAAGTCACTAAAACAATCTCTCCTCATGCACGGATAAAACGTACACATGGTTTTCTTTAGACCCATATCTAATTCTCTTTTTACCTTTTGATGGTTGCACTCCATGCAAGTGAGTATGCACTTTTATATAGAGCAACAAAATGAAGTGTATGCATCAAAATGTGAAATGAGAATGGTGTGTCCCCTCCTTCCCCCTACGAAGACTTTGGATTTTGTGGAGTATGATTTGCTATATATCAGATTTATTCAGTTCACATAACGCCAAATCACCCACTATGAATCTAAGTGGATCTTCTAGCCATACATAGTGGGTGATCTAAATTGAGATAATTTAGTTTCAAAATTGCTTTGAATAAGGATTGTGTGGTGTGGTGTAGTAAAGGGTATTAAATCTCAAAAGGGAGGCCTTTAGGGAAGGGTTGTGTATCTAATATTTCATACTATATATAATATTTCATAAGTTTGTAAGTAAACTGCATATGACATTAATAAAATACCAATTGTGATAGATTACTATACTATAGTGACTTGATGGCAAGATTAATATCTTACCTATATTTCAATGTGGTGTTATTTAGAAAAACAAAGAGAAATGCCTTGAAAATATTTAGGTGGTGGACGAATTCTATGATATTGGTCCTTGTGTTTTTTGTGTTTTGTGAAGAAATGATAGTTATTACAAAATGGTTCTGAAAGTAGTCTTATTTGCATTGGGTCTTCACAATAAATTGATTCCTGAACTCCATTTTATGAAAAAATTATATCAAGAGTAAAGAAAATGAATCAATGTAGTGGCATGTGTGTGGTCTTAGATGTAATGTTTACATTTAGCATTGTTGAAGGACTTGTAAAGGTACTACTTATAGCAATAGTTAGTGTTCACAAAGGATCGACCACTTATCACTAAAATACCCATAGAGGGTATATGGCTAAGTGGGAAGAAAGTAGCTTTTCATAAGATGGAAAATGAAAATTATTAACCACACAAGGTTTCTAAAGAAGTGATTGTCTGATAACAAGGGATATACGTCTTTATGCTAAACAAGATGTATTGAACTCATAATCATTAAATATGATACGACTTTTACTCTGAAAATGAATCTATCTAAGAAGAAAAGAAAACTATCTACAACTTGCATAAAGAAAAAAGAAAAACAGTTGTGAAAACATGAGAGAGATTTTTTTTCTTCTGTCTTGTAAGATCCCAAGAGTTTTATTATCTTCCCTTTGTATTTTTTATTTTTTATGGTTACAGGGTATTCTAGCTTGTGTTGACTAGTCTCTAAAATTTAGTGGCTAGCTACCATGTATGGCTTGAGCTGAGTTAGAGCATGTCCCTAAAGAGACAAGGATGACTGGTCCTTAAGAGGTGTGAACAAGAATTGACCTTAAGACCTCTAAATCATAAAAGATCAAGTCCAACCAGTCAATCACCCTCAAAGACTTATCTTTCCTTTGTATTATCCATAAAGAATAATGCACATATCCCAACTACCACAATTTTATGTTTATGACAGCTTACCGTCCCCCATCTCAAATGGGAGCATCTACTAGGTCAAAAACAGTTTGGGTACCCTTTGGACAAAAACAAAACTACCACAATGAGAGGTGGTACCCTATTTGTGGTAAATTGCAACTTTTAGTTTTAATGGGAAAAAATACAATAACCACTAGACATTTGTAAAAGTATACAATGATCTCAAACAAAGATTTTAATTTAGAAAGGACTCTCTTGCACTAGGTGAAAATTAAAAAAAGAGAGGATGATCTTAGTATTTCAAATAATATTTTCACTCACCAAATCTTTATCATATTTTCAAGGGTAAAATATATTTTTAGTCTCCAACGTATGTGTTTGGTGTTTATTTGGTCTTAAATTTTTTAACTATATCTATTTGGCCACTAAGATTACTAATTTGCATCCATGTGATCTAATCCCAAATGTCTGTTAAAAAATCGTGATGATCCATGTGATCTAATCCCAAGTGTATAGGGAACTAAAAGTAAGAATGGGAAATGAGGGCAAGAAACACTCGAACGATCAAGTCGGAGTGTTTTTCGTCGTGACCTGTCCGACGATTAAGTCAGTATGGGAGATAGGGATAAGAAACAATGTTCTATTGTTTGTGTGAGAATGTGTATACCCTCATTTTGTGTTTATGAGAGCTATTTATACCTCCATGGAGATAATTATTGTTGACAAGTGGGTCCCTTGGAGAGGCAGTCCCTTATTGGCCCATTTGGAAGGCAGAAGTGGTGCTCAGTCTTTGAGCAAAATGCCTCCTATTTTGAGTGGAAGAAGTTTATGCATTGAATGCTCGGACTCTCGATCACTTAATACTCTTTTTCTTTGTGAACCTTCAAACAATAAATATGTATCATCCTTCTGATGGATCATTTAATGTCTTTCATTGTGGTTGCACATGCGCGGGGGCATTTGTGTCCTTTGCCCCTCCAGGAGGTCATGTCATTTGGGCTTCGTACTTCGCGGATTCTCTCTATTGGTCACCAAGTTGCCTACCTTGTCATTCTGACTGCCTTGGAAAGGGGGTTTGATGATTAAAAACCACCCTTACCTCTGATGTGGTGATGTTATTCTTGACTTCTCTAAGAACTCAACCATTTGTCATAGCCTAAGTCCCAAGGTGGTCGCCAACACCTCAGCGGAGTGGAGGACCGGACGCCGAGGACACATGTCGGGTGGAGGTCTCCTCAGGGAACTTTGGGAGTCAAGGACAATTGTCACGTGATGAAGACTTTGACTCTGAGATGCGTTGATGCCGCGAACACGTGTCGCTCGTAGGGGCTTCGAGGGACCTCACGCCTAGAACACGTGTTAATCTATAGGGCTCCCACGTTTCTTGTGCCAAGGACATGTGTCATTCTCACTAAGATCCGAGGGTTACTCATGTTGAGGACACGTGTCAACTCGATGTTGATTCTCAGAAGTGTCCCATTAACTACCCCCAGTCATTGATCTTTGTACAACATGGGTGACATGGCATGAGAAGATAAAAGGCCTTAACTCCTACCTTCTTACGTAATCGTTCTTTCCTTAGGGATCGTGCCCCATTTATTGTGCCTTTTCTCATTCATTGTGTGTAATCATGGTGTTGGGCCTTATTTAAACAAAGCCTCTACCCCTCTTCTCCACTTTTGCCAACTTAGTGAGATAGGAGACATTCGCCGGAGCTTAGTCGGAGAATCCATAGTTCACCTTGAAAGTTATCAAATCCTCAATGTCCACCGGAGAAAGAAGTCACCAACCTTTCCTCTGCAACAAAGTTGTGCTCATTGGTGAGTCTCTGTCCTTTTTTCTTTCTATCCTTTCCTTTTATGGCAATTTTCCCTCTATTCTTCCTCCTTTCTATCCTAGCAACACCGCTTCTAACCCCCTGGCCTCATTCTCCTTCTTTTTTCCTTCCTTGCACCCTTAATAGTGACCCTTAGGCCCTCCACCCTAAGGAAGCCTCCTTTTTTAATCCTATTTCTGTTAAAACCATGCTGAGGCATTGTCGGTGTGCTAACGCTGAGGCCGAAGAGGCTGGTTCCTCAAGGCCGAGAAAGTATATAATCAAAGGCCACCAGTAGATCACTAACTTTAAGACTCACTACTCCATCCCTACTTGGGTCGTTGTGAATGAGTTCATTCCTAGACTCCCAGCACCGAGGCTGCTATGCCTTTTTACACCAAGGCTATCATGGAGGGTGGTAAATGATTCCTTCTCCACCCTATCTGCCTTTGTTTCTTGTCCCAATTTTTCCTTTTCCCGGGGCAAAGTTGCCTAAATACCTTTAGGATTATCATGGGAGTGGTGGCCCTAAATGAGAGTTTTCAAGTGAACCTCAGCTTGGATGACATCTTTTTTTGCTACACTTTGTTGAGGATGATGCCTCAGCAGAAGTTTTATCTTAAGGTCTGTACCCTGTTGCACACCTTCCCGACTCAAATAAAAGAGTACAAGGACGACTTGC